AACTTATCTTCCAGCAAGTTTAGTGTTTCTGTCTTAATATTTAGATTTTAATCCACTTTGATCTTAGTTTAGTGCATGGTGATAGGTATGGGTCTAGTTTCAATCTTTGGCAGGCTGAAATCCAGTTTTTCCAACACCATTTATTAAATTGGCTATCTTTCCTCCAATGAGGGTGATTGGCCCCTTTGTCAAAGATGAGGTGACTGAGCATGTCTGGAGTTGTTTCTGCATCTTCTAATCTATTTCACTGATCCTCAGGTCTGCTCCTTTGCTAGTACCATGCTGATTTTATCACAGTAGCTTTGTAGTATAGTTTCAAGTTGGGGATTGTGATACCCGCAGCCATGTCTCTGTTGCTTAGAATTGCTTTAGCTATTCTAGGTCTCTTATGGTTCCAAATGAATATTTGGATTGTTTTCTCTAGTTCTGTGAAGTATATTGTTGGAATTTCAATTGGCATTGCATTGAATCTATACAGGTGTTAGATTTTTATTCGTTTCCTAGTTTTGCTTAGAAGAAGCCCGTTTTTTTGTTTTTTTTGTTTTTTGGGTTTTTTTGGTACCAGGGATGGAACTCGCTTGCGAGGCAGGTGCTGGAACCACTGAGCTAAATCCCCGGCCCTGAAGCCCGTTTTTATTGGAGTATGATACACATTCAGAAAAGAATACTCATAACAAATTTAACACTCCCATGTATGATGATAACAAAGACATGACATATGTTGATACCTAACCATTTATATACAGGAGTTCTGCAAATTATACTACTCCTTTGCTGTCCCTACATTTTAAGTGGAGACCAAAGCAAGTACTTCTTTCTGAACATTGATTACATAATCACTAGGGTTACTTATTAAATGGATAAGCACTGATAATATTTATGGATTAACATTACTTCAGATAAGAAATACACATTAGTCACATGTAAAAATCAAAGCTCTCTAGACAGAACTAAACCTGTGTTTTATTCAGTTTCTATTTTTTATTTGTCTTTATTTTTCTGTTCTTGACATTTTCTATATTATGTAAAACTGTTTTACCCTTTTACTTTCTATATTTCTAAGAACATTAATAAATAAAAGATGTGAAAACCAAATTGCTATTCAAATTCAATTGTTTCCAATTATACCAGGAACTAAACAGAACCCAGCAATTCATAGTTTCTTAGGGTGAAAGCGGCTCCACACTATTCAGTCTTGTATAAAAGAAATAAAGAAAAAAGGGGGAAATTCAGAGATACGAAAACACGAAGGCAGCTTAGTATTGTGAAGAGCAGATGGGCTTAAGAAGGCTCTGAAAAGTCACTGTCCACATTTGATATTCTGTGTTCCATGTCTGGTGTCATCAAGGCAACCATCTTATGGATGCTTCAGTTATTTTGTATTCATTTCTTTGTCTTTCTTTGATCAGGTAACAATCCATAGTATCCTTACATTGTATACACATATCAGGACTAACTATGACAGCTGTGAATACTTCTCATGTATAGAGGGAGGTAAGTCTTACAAGACTGGTAAGTCTCAGCGTTGGGGATTCTGAACCACCTCAAACAATTGAGTGTGTCAAAAGGTTTTATGAAATAAAACTGTTGTTAGCTTTCCTTTCTATAGACATTTAAAGGAGAAAAAAATATTCTGAAATGACTGCTAGAGGTACTTCTGCAGTTATTCAGGGGGAGGAAATAGAATGCTATTTTCAGATGAACTTGTGTAGCATTGCAGATTTTGATGAAGCTAGGTATCTCTTTTTGGTTGTTTGTATGTTTGGAGCAGAGATGGACAAGTGCCCTGTATCTTTATGAAGTCTTGTGGTTTGGAAGTTACAGAAAAACCTGTTGATGCATTGGATTTGGAAGATTCATTAGGGAACTTTAGCTGCAGTAACAAGTAATCCTAATATTTCAGTGTTAACAAAAATACTTCTTTATTTATCATCCATGGGTCTGCTGTTTGGCTTTGCTGTGCTAGTTTCAGCTGGGCTTGCTTCTAGGCTTTGGGCCTGATTCATGTCTTATGCATGTCCATGGGATTAGGGCTAAAGAATGACAGTTATCTGAGACCTGGTTTTTTGCATAGTGAATGACAGAATCATAGTAGTTACTGGAGGAAGCTTGCCTTGGCTCTTCAGGCCTCTGTTCATAACAGATACACTGTCACTTCTATCTACATTCTATGGGACCAAAAAAGTCAAAAGGCTAGGGCTTAAGCCAATTGGGTGGAGGTATTTACTTTGCAAACTCTTAAAAATGGCAAAGACTGTGGATTTATAATCCTATTGCAGGGAAGGGATGAGGAATTGAGAATAAACATTCAATGTAGCATAAAAGGCCACCATTAGAGAAAAGTCTTTAATGGAGTATGATTTTTTCCTTTTCCCCTTAGCTTAGATGATCTGAAGTGAAGTAAGTGACTTTTATAAGATTTTTAAAAATTTGTCAAGCATATTTAGGAATACTAAGATTTATACTAGCTTGAATTTAAGATGAATAGCTTGAAGCAGTTCATAGAGTGGACTTATAAAGAGTGAATTAACATGGATTTAGTAAGTGCTTACTGCTGCTCATCCTTTGCTAGATCTAGACAAGGTGGAAAATGTAGAAGAGGGCATAGAGATTTCTACGTCCTCTTAGAAAACAATTTGAGGTTTCAGTCCCGAGAAAGGGTCTGAAGACCCATCCTACCACACTGCCAGTGCACTGCCATGACAAGCCATTCATTTGGTGGGAACATGTCTCCACTGAAGATGGTCCCATGAAGATGATTGTGAGCAGGGCTCACTGAGTCATCCATCTGTGGCAGTATCTGTATCTCAAACTTATGCAGGCTCTTTACCAGGCAGGTGGCAGAGAAGAGCTTAGTTGGTGTGGTGTCTGTTGAGAACTGGACCTCTCTTCCTTTCTTGTGCTGAAATAAAGACACAACATCCCTTCTCCACTTTTCTTTCTTGGGGAAAGAACTAGCATTTCTCTTTTCCCTAGAGATGAGTTTTCCACAAGAACTTGAGTTCTTCCCACATGGTGAGCAGTTACTGCAGGGACGAGAGAGCAGTGAGTGCTAGTGATTAGTGGATCATTCTGCAGTAAGATTGCAAAGTGAGATCAAGCCGTGGGCTTGCATGAGACTTGGAAATCTCTCTTGAATTCCTATTTGGAAAATGTTCAGTTTGCCTAATGAATGTGTTTAAAGAAAGGTATTCCTGCCAGGTTTTCAGAAATGGAATAAATGACCTAATTTCTATTTGGACTACAATCAGACTCCAATCCCTGTTGGTAGAAAAATGAGCCTAGAAGAGACCTACAGCAGCCATTTATTCACACTTCTGTTTCTAAACAGGCGGTCTCTGTGCCGCTGTGCACCAGGCCTCTGTGGGTTTATCATGGATTTTCTGCTGGGCAAGGCACTGCACAGCTTGCCCTGTAACTGCTGCAAAGTGGGTTTAATACCCCTCTCTGAAAACTCAGCTGTGCTTTGTGTGAGGCCATTGTGTGGATAAAGAAATGGACTCTTTCTGGAGGCAGTGAGTTTTAGAGGCAGGTGCAGATGAACAGCCATCATCACATATATTGGGACATTTCCTGCCTTGATCTGTTAACACTCAGTTTGAGCTGGGGTATTGTATTTTCTACTTAGCCTTCCTTTTAGTTAGGGTTTTAGCCTTATTTGGAATCAAGGACTCCTTTAAGACTAATGAAAGACACGGCCCCCAAATGCATGCACATACATGCTTTAGACATTTTAATGTCAGGGGTTCACAGGACTCCTTAAGTTATGGTCCCAGATTAGGAGTCCCTACTTTAGATTCTCCTATATGATGGTGCTCATTTTAGGCTATTTGATGTATAGGCATTGTTTAATAAAAGGACAAGGTGGAGACACTTGGGCTCTAATACTGAAGCCATTATGTACTAGCCCCAGGCCCTGCGGAGCCTGAGTTTTTTCCTTTGTAAAATGTGGAGCATTGTAGCACCTTCTCAGGGTTGTTGTGAGAATCAAATGAAGCCATTTCCCTGGCTTTTGAGTAAATGGATGTTCAAGAGAGAGCAGCAATTGTTGTATTGATATATTAACACTCTTATGTTGGGGAGCTGACACATGCAAACTGCATCTGAGCATCTCATAGCAGAAGTGTGAATCAAATGATGTTCTCAAGGTTGCTGCCTTCTCTTGGGGCACCCAGTGCACTTAAGTTTATGCATAATTCTTGGTGTCCTCTTCTATGGCACCCTGCCAGGCTCGCATCATCTGTAAACACTTAGTTAAGCACTTATGGTGCATAATAGATGTTCAATAAAAATTCTTATGATTACTAGTATTGTCACTGTTGTCACTATTACTGTTGCAGATTCATAGGGTATTGTTCAGTGAAACTTTAGTTTTAGGGGAAAGAGGGTCTAAAGATGAATTTTTTCAAGGAGAGGAATATCAAAGTAATTGTGATAAGAGGAGCAAAAAAAGCTCCTCTCTCACTTTTTTCAATGTTAAAAATTTATGTCTTAGCCTTCCACTTACTTATTTCATTCAAGGTAGGCTGAAATGCAGAGACTTAGCAACCCCTTACAGAAAAATAACTAATTAAAAATGATGGGTTCTAGAGTAGAGCTTGGCAAAACAAGGAAATGTGCCAATCACATCCTCTCCAGTGCTGAGTGGGGCTAGCTGTAGGTTTTCTTGGCCAAGAAGACTGTGTGTTTAGGGGCTTTCTCCCCTCCTCTCTGGCTGTTTATCTATAGGCTCTCATTTCTCTTACTCCTTTAAACACAAATAAAAGGGTAAGAATTTACCATGTTTTTTTTTTTTTTTTTTTTTTGTGGCATAAGGGATTGAAGCTAGGGCCTTCACACGCACTACATCCCCAGTCTTTTAAAAACTTCTTCTTTTTTAAATTTGAGACAGGGCCTTGTTAAGTCACCAAGTTATATAGTTATTGCCTAGGCTGGGTTCAAACCTGTGGTCTTCCTGCCCCAGCCTTCCAGAGTACTGGGATTACAGGCATGCACCACCATGCCTGGCTTGTATTTTAATCAGAAATTAATCAGTTTAGGGCCAGGGATTTAGCTCAGTGGTTTCGCCGCCTGCTGTGCAAGCACAAGGACCCGAGTTCAATCTCTGGTACCAAAAAAAAAAAAAAAAAAAAAAATCAGTTTAGGATTATGTCTTTGTGCACCTGGTGCTTGGCAAAGCCTCAATAAATATACCATGAACAAGATAAAGTAATTCAAATGGGTGAAATATTAGTTGTTAGTCTATGGGAATTTTTATTTCTGAAGGGCAAGGGATACTTTTTGGTGCTCTTGAAATCTCCTTATTTTTTCTTAAATTTTCTGGTTGTGGAGTTTTGGATATACTCTGTTATATGAACTTGAAACTCTTTTTTCCTTCTGCTCTAGGTTAGCCTAAATTCACTAATCTAGTAAGCTTTTTTCAAGGTGCCAGAGTGTGATAAGGGGGCTGGGGATTTAGCTCAATGGTTCTGGCGGCTGCCTTGCAAATGCAAGGTCCTGAGTTCAATCCCTGGTACCAAACCAAACCAAACCAAACCAAACCAAACAAAAAAACCCAAAATCAGAGTGTGATAGGGTCTGATTTAAGACACCATACTGGTTAGATACTGCTATATAAATACTTCCTTCAAATATAGTGCCCTCAAACAAGATACACACACATATATACACATACACATACATATATATTTCTATTTCAAGTTTTTACAATCAGCTAAGCTTAGGTGGTTCTTCTGCTGAATTTCCAGTATTTAGTCATATGGCTGCATTCAGCTGGTTGGGTGTCTGGGGAGTAGGTGCAGTTGGAAACATGGGATTACTAGGCTTTTCTCATTCTCTCTCTTTATGGAGCCTCATGTTTTCTGCCTCCTGTGTACCCTGTCCACATGGTCTTTCTAGCAGGGCAACTGGACTTTCACAGGATGGCTCGGGGCTCGCAAGAACACACAAGTGGAAGCTGCCAGGTCTTCCGAAGGCTTAGGCCTGGTACTGGCACAGCATCATTTCTACTGCACCCCAGTAGTTGGAAATTATGGGACCAGCTGAGATTTTTTTAAGATGAAGGAACTACATAAAAGTGTGGATACAGCAAAGTGGTTCACTGGAGCCTACCTATACATCAGACTACTACAGACACCTAGACTTTTCTGCTTGGAGTAGAGGTATAAAGAATGCAGAGGCCGGGGATTTAGCTCAGTGGTTTCGCCACCTGCTGCGCAAGTGAAAGGATCTGAGTTTGATCCCCGGTACCAAAAAAAAAGAATGCAGAGAAAAAGTTCTCCAATTTATAGAGTAGGGACCAGGATACATTTTTTTTTTTTTTTTTTTGGTACTAGGGATTGAACTCGGGTCCTTGAGCTTGCGCAGCAGGCAGCGAAACCACTGAGCTAAATCCCCGGCCCCAAGGATACATTTTTTTGTTGCCTTGGTTGTAAGCAGGAAGCCCATAAAAACCTTAAGGGGAGGAATATGAAAAGCAAAGTGCCCAGCACATG